ACCAAAAAACAAAACAAAAAGACTGTGGACTTTGTGAAGTGCATACAATAATGGGCTGAGGCAGGGACAGGGTGTGACCAACATTCTACTGGTAACAAACTACCAGTTTAGCCGCTTTCATTCATATGTTTTTGTGGATTAGCAAAAGACTGTCAATTATTTGGTGAAATTAAAAGATTAATTTGTATTCAGAACATTACACTGCTGGGAAGGCTTTGAAACATTATGTTTGGGTTTAGTCCAAATCTACAGTAGCTAATTGTGGATTATGAACATATTTTGCTGTATGACAATGAGGGCACAACAGATTTGAATGTTTTGTGGCAGTTGTGTGAATAAATATTTTTATGCTTTAAATTGATCTGCTTTAAACACTTTTCAGGACTGTTTCTCTTGTCAATTCACTTGTTTGATTAGGTAATTACCTTTGTTATTTGCCAAGAAGTTACAAAATGCTTTTTTTAAATTACATTTTGTTTTTGAGAAAGCAATTAAAATATCTTCTTTATAAAAGAGAACATTTACAGTGTATTGATCAGTATTAATGGGAACTCTTTTCTTTTTACTAGTGTAGTCTGATTCCTGAGCAGATGACTCTTAATAAGTAGCCTGTTTATTTTAGTGAATCAAAAGTATATAAAAACATAAGAATCGGGAACAACTGTTAATTGCGGTCCCCGACCGTCCCCCAAAATATATAAAATATTAAGAGACCTTTTCTTCAGTCCACTTATGAGAGTTATGGCAAGTTGCCAGGAGCAATATGGCGGCGCCGATGACGTATGATCCAGCGGCCAATGAGGCGTCTATAAATTTTGCACGTGCCCAAACCGCCGCTGTTTTGCAGGTAAGTCATGGGTGGTTGTTGTCTCGTGTGAAATGTCATATGATAAACCAGGAAATGGAAACTGGTTTGTCGTTTTTGGAGCTGTATTATGTATATGGAAGTCGGCAGAAATCTCTAGGGCAGAAATTCGCATTTTACTGCTCTCAGTGTCGCGCGCGTCTGTGAGGTGTGATCAATCATGGAAGTGACTGTGAGTCAGATATCGCTGGTTCTTTGTCTTCTATCATGCTGCTCTTCATCATTTAGTGCTCGATATACACCTGACTGGACCAGTCTCGACTCCAGACCTCTGCCTGAATGGTACGACGAGGTGAAGTTCGGGATCTTTGTTCATTGGGGAGTATTTTCAGTTCCCGCGTTCGGCAGCGAGTGGTTCTGGTGGTACTGGAGAGGCGCACACATATCTGATTATGTCCAGTTCATGATTAAAAACTACCCACCTGGATTCAGCTACACGGACTTCGCTCCTGATTTCCACGCGCAGTTTTTTGACCCTGATGAGTGGGCTGATATCTTCGAAGCTTCAGGAGCAAAGTACGTAACGTTAACTTACTTACAATATGCGTTCGCGATTCCTGTTTGTGTTTTACGTATTTATAATTTTGTTTTATTATTTTTCTCAGATATGTGATCCTCACATCGAAACATCACGAAGGCTTCACAAATTGGGGCTCCCCATATTCCTGGAACTGGAATTCTGTTGATAACGGACCTCACAGGGATCTTGTTGGAGATTTGGGCAATGCAATAAGAAAGAGGTATTGTGTAGAAAATTGAAAGAAATGCTACAGGATGTATTTTCTTATATAATTCCCTTCCTCAATTTTATCCATACATTTTCAATGAACTATAACCTTTTTTTAAATTTTACTAAAATTTTTAATAGGTCTCTGCATTATGGACTCTACAACTCTCTGTATGAATGGTTCAATCCCATCTATCTGAGTGACAAGAAAGCTGGTTTCAAGACTCAGGATTATGTTGCAAAAAAAGCAATGCCAGAACTCATCGAACTGGTCAACAGGTAGGTTTGCATCAGTCATGTGATGATATACAGGCTAGACAAGGAAGAACAATTGTTTATGACATAAGCATGACTGTTATGTTGTATTTGTCTGCAAAGATCAACCTTTACAAGTTTACAGCCTACTTAGTGTATGATTTTACGTTTATAAAACTGTTAATTGGTGATGTTTTTTACATTTCAGGTACAAGCCAGACCTGATTTGGTCAGATGGGGACTGGGAAGCACCTGACACTTATTGGAACTCTACAGAATTCCTCGCCTGGCTCTACAACGACAGTCCGGTCAAAGTGAGATCATCGTTTCATGTCATTCTTATTTTAAAACGGTCTCAAATTGTAATTCTGATCATAAAAACTGCATTATTGCGCTCCTTACAGGATGTGGTGGTGACCAATGACAGATGGGGGAATGGCTGTTACTGTAAACATGGAGGTTATTTCAACTGTGCTGACAAGTTCACTCCTGGACATTTGCCCAATCACAAGTGGGAGAAATGTCAGTCAGTGGACATATTATCGTGGGGTTATCGCCGAAATATTAAACTAAGCGAACTGATGGATCTACCATCCATCATAAAGGTGTGATTTGTTGCTATTGAGCAAAAGTGCTTCACACAGATGATATTACTAGATTCCTGCATTGTAAATAATGTATATGAATGAAACATGGACACAAACTTGTTTGCAAGTTCATGTGGTGTCTAATGAATCAAGTACATTTTTAAATTCTCATATTTTGTGACTGCAGGACCTGGTCTATGTCGTGGCCTTAGGGGGGAATTACCTGTTGAATGTGGGACCCACAGCAGACGGCGTGATCGCACCTGTCTTTGAGGAGCGTCTCAGAGGAATTGGAGCCTGGCTGAAGATCAACGGTGAAGCCATCTACGCAACTAAACCTTGGAGAGTTCAGGCTGAGAATGCTACAGTTCTTACCTGGTGTGTTGATGTTTTTATACGTCTTCTTATCTTTCTATTCCTCAAAAACGTTCAGTGTACTTATTCTCCCTTAATTTATATTTATGAGCTAAGCTATATTGTGTGCCCCTTGCTCTTCAGTTTTTATTATTCCAACGCTCCAGATGGGAAGGCTTTAGATGGCAAATGTTTGTTCAGATGTTGACATGTCAGTAAACAGATCATATGATTGTCATAAAGGATTTGAATTCATATTAAATGGATAGTTCACCCAAAAATGAAAATTCTGTCAATAGGCTATTTACTCACTCTCATGTTGTTCCAACCCCGTAAGACCTTTGTTCATCTTCGGAACATGAATTAAGATATTTTTAATGAAATCTGAGTGCTAGATCACTCCTCCATACTAGTCCATAGGCTTCTTGAGGAATTGAAACTTTGCGGCCTCAAAGTTATTAAATACATCGTTAAAACAGTCCAAGTGAATAGAGTGTCTCAATCTTAAGTTTATCAAGCGACGAGAACACTTTTTGTGTGCAAAAAACAACAAAAATAATGACTTTATTTCAACTATTAATTTCTTTGATTGAGTCAGCTATAGTCTTGCTTCCTTCTAGCACTTTTTCTGGAATGCTAGTTTGGCCTTAATTAGCCCACGGAATGATTTTTCTTATTTTCCTTCAATTCCAGGTATACTTCAAAAAACACCAGCACTGTGTATGCAATCTTCACCTCCAATCCCATGCAAAACTCCTTTAAGCTTTCTATGCCCAAAACCTCTGACAACACAGTGGTAAATATTTATGAATTTTGTTAGAATTTAGGAATAAAATGTTTTTTTTTTTAAGACATTATTGAATTATCTGTTGCAACTCTGTTCAGGTGACGTTGTTGGGGTACCCTGAGCCTTTGAAATGGGTTCCTCTGAAAACAACAGGACTGTTAATTCTCCTGCCTGATCTGCCTTTCTCACCCGCTGAAGCCTGGACATTCAAGCTGGATGGGGTGGCCTAACCTAAAGCCTTTAAAACTTTTAAAGTCGCCATGAAATTCAAATTTTACAATTTGTATTTTTTTATATGTAATATTGTAGTGCAGCTTATTATAAATGATTTATCTGTGCACTTCATTAATTTAAAAAAAAAAAAAATCATGTACCCTTATAATCTTTATCAAATACATTCTCCTTCCCTTCACCCTGAAACGACTTTTCTTCTCTTCCTGTCATGTGCTTTGCTGAGAGGGCGCGGCAAGTCCCATGCTCTAATCAATATTCAGTTTTACTTGGAAATACGTCACAACGCTGGAGAAAAGTTGTTTGTAACTCTCGGTACACGGGTACTTTAAAAACTATTTTAATGACATTTGTTTTAAGAAAGTTTTGTTTAATTTTTTTTTTTTTATTATTATTTTAAAATGGACTATTTGATATGATTGCATAATAAAAATGACCAACTGAATGATACACCAAAACCAAATTTCTGAAACTAAAATATTTGTAATAGGCCAAAGATGGTACGTCAGGTTGTGCCTAATGTTCTACTGGTAACTAATTACCAGTTTAATCACTTTTTCTTTATATTATTTTTGGAATAGAAAGATTATTTTTAGGAAATTATTTAATTATTTGTTGGAATTAAAAGGTTAATTAGACAGCTGGGGAAGTTGTGTAATGTTATGTTTAGGGTTTTGTATAAATTTGCAGGGGCTTATTATGGATTATGTTTGAATAAATATTTGTATGTTTTAAAGTACACTTTTTTTTAGGGACCATGCCAATGGTCTTGTGTATTAATTTGTTTAATTAATTAACTGTTATGAGTATGTCTGAATTATGAACCTAAACCATATGCTGAGCTGAACTTTCTAGGTTGCAAAATAAAAGTTGGTTACAGTTAGCCTATATTTATTTAGGCTATAGTTTAGCTCTACATTTGTAGACTAGCCTATAAACATTACTTTTTCCTAGTTATAAAGTTGTTCAAGTCATGTTTTTTTTTTTCATTTTGTCTTTAAAAAGGCAATTAAATATTTTGTTTTATAATATTAGAGGTAGTAAAAGTGGCATTTCCCATTTAGTAAAGGAACAGTGGCAGGGTTCAGTTCAAACGGGAAACGAAAGCTTTTTCTTTCACCAGAATAGACCGATTCCCGTTCCCGAACAAACGTTAAACTTATTTGGTTCCCCATCCTTTGTTACGAGTGGTTAGAAGTGGAGTCATGTGTTGCAGTCACATGTTCGATGGCATAATGGTTAACCAGGAAGAAAATACAAGCTTGTTATTTGAGTCTGCATTATGCTGAATCGTAAGTTAAGTCAACAGAAATCTCCAATGCGGAAATGTGACAATACTTAGTAACAATTAGTCAAAATACTGACCACAGTGCACGCGCGCGTGTCGGTGAGGTGTGATCAATCATGGAAGTGAATGTGAGTCAGATATCGCTGGTTCTTTGTCTTCTATCATGCTGCTCTTCATCATTCAGTGCTCGATATACACCTGACTGGACCAGTCTCGACTCCAGACCTCTGCCTGAATGGTACGACGAGGTGAAGTTCGGGATCTTTGTTCATTGGGGGGTGTTTTCAGTGCCCGCGTTCGGCAGCGAGTGGTTCTGGTGGGACTGGAAAGGGGCACATGATTTTGAATATATCTTGTTCATGATTAAAAACTACCCCCCTGGATTCAGCTACACGGACTTCGCTCCTAATTTCCACGCGCAGTTTTTTGACCCTGATGAGTGGGCTGATATCTTCGAAGCTTCAGGAGCAAAGTTGGTAGGCTATATTACGATACTTACGCTTCTTGTTAGTGTTTTACGTATTTATAATGTTGTTTTTGATTTTTTTCCCCCAGATATGTGGTCCTCACATCGAAACACCACGAAGGCTTCACAAATTGGGGCTCCCCAGATTCCTGGAATTGGAATTCTGTTGATAACGGACCTCACAGGGATCTTGTTGGAGATTTGGGAAATGCAATAAGAAAGAGGTATGTGTGCTAACATATCTTTCCAACGCGGAAATAAACGGTGTTATGCAAATATTTTCTTTAGGGGAAACCATTACAAAGCATATATCTATCTATCTGCATTGCTAGTCTTGTATACAATATGTATACAGTATCTATAGATCTTACAGCAAAATTCAGCCATTTAAGTATTACAAAATTATATATTTTTTAGTAACAGAGATGTCTTCTTTTACCATTGTTCTTTATAGAAATTAAAGCATCATAAAAATCTCATTAACTGAGTATCAATACAACTGAAAAATAAGTGTATTGTTTCTTACTCCTTTACAGAAACAAAATTGCTAAGAAAAGCTGTCCTTGAGCATACTAATAAAGTCATAAATGCGGATTTATTATTTTAAACAGAGTTTCTTTTGACTTTGTTTGCAATTACATATTTATTGACAAATACATTATAAATATTATTTTTTAAAAGATGCATTCCCCCCAAAATATAAACAAATTCACAATAGATCACCTGAACAACTATGTCTATAACAAAAATGTATTCTTTGTTAAACCAGTGTTTCTTGAAACATAGACGGATGCAAAGTTTGAGTGCATAAGGAAACTGAATATAATATAATTTGCAGTGCTTCATTGGACTGGGGCGCTCTTGCAGAATTATGGGTAATGTAATTTTTCACCAATAATCTGTTAAATATGATTATTTAAAAAACAAATTGAAATAATGCAGGGTGGCTTCAACTAAGGCATATAGCATCGATTAACAGCCTTGTAGTAGCTTGCAGTAGGTCTGTCTTTAGAGGTTATAAGTTATTGATAAAAATCAGTTCCTCTATGGAGAAAATGAATAGGATGGTTAAACAGTTGCACTCTAGGTAAATTACTAGAATATTAACAAAGTGAAGTAAGCGGTAAAACAATTTACGCTGCAAAACCACAGTTTATAAGTGCGATAATACATTAAAATATTATGATAACAAACCAGTTTAGCATAACAGACTCCTTGGACAACTTCACCTGACACAAAGCCTTGCAAATTTAAATTAAAAATGGTTATGACTGTTCTTATGTGAAATATGAGGTGGATATCTCAGTATGGTTTTGAGAACTTTTTCTTTTCTGAATTTTAACCAAAAATGTTTAATTTGTTGTATTAGGTCTCTGCATTATGGACTCTACAACTCTTTGTTTGAATGGTTCAATCCCATCTATCTGAGGGACAAGGAATCTGGTTTCAAGACTCAGGATTATGTTGCAAAAAAAGTAATGCCAGAACTCATCAATCTGGTCAACAGGTAGATTTGCATCAGTCATGTGATGATATACAGGCTAGACAAGGAAGAACAATTGTTTATGACATAAGCCTGACTGTTATGTTGTATTTGTCTGTGTAAAGATCAACCTTTACAACCTTTATGTTTTTGAAACTGCTAATTGGTGATGTTTTTTACATCTCAGGTACAAGCCAGACCTGATTTGGTCAGATGGGGACTGGGAAGCACCTGACACTTATTGGAACTCTACAGAATTCCTCGCCTGGCTCTACAACGACAGTCCGGTCAAAGTGAGATCATCGTTTCATGTCATTCTTATTTTAAAACGGTCTCAAATTGTAATTCTGATCATAAAAACTGCATTATTGCGCTCCTTACAGGATGTAGTGGTGACCAATGACAGATGGGGGAATGGCTGTTACTGTAAACATGGAGGTTATTTCAACTGTGCTGACAAGTTCACTCCTGGACAGCTGCCCAATCACAAGTGGGAGAAATGTCAGTCAGTGGACACAAAATCATGGGGTTATCGCCGAAATATGAAACTAACCGAACTGATGGATCTACCATCCATCATAAAGGTGCGACATCTTGCTATTCATACTTTGCATGTGACGTCACAAGTACTGGCTGGCGGGCAAGAACGCCGTTCACCAGCAATGAAACCCAGTAAACTAGTCAAGGATCTTGCCAGGATGTCACCAGTTTTTATACAAACGTTGGTGTTTCGAGGTGTAAATGACACACCAGATAGTTGTGTGATTGGTTGCACTAACCAGATGAGATAGCAACCTTCACAGTAGGCCTATAACGTTACACGTCTGTGCAGTGATCATTCCATCACTCAAGGTAATTTCAACATTTGTTTGAAGACAATGGGCATCATGTAATTAATTATGTCTTTAAAGGAGTAGTTCACTTTTAAAAAAACTTTTGCTGATGATTTACTCACCCCCATGTCATCCAAGATATCCATGTCTTTCTTTCTTCAGTCGAAAAGAAATTAAGGTTTTTGATGAAAACATTCCAGGATTTTTTGCATATAATGGACTTCAATGGGAACCAAACGGTTCAAGATCCAAATGAGAGTTTCAGTGCAGCTTCAAAGGGCTTTAAACGACACCAGACGATGAATAAGGGTCTTATCTAGGACCCTTCGAGTCATGACTCGAAAAAAGATTTGTTCATTTTGATAAACGAGTTTGAACAGGAGAGTCACGAACGCTCATCACAGAACAGAGCAAGGTGAGCATTTGTGCTTATAAAACTTAAACTTTTTTATTTATTTTTGAAATGACCGATCGTTTCGGTAGATAAGACCCTTATTCATCGTCTGGTGTCGTTTAAAGCCCTTTGAAGCTGCACTGAAACTCTCATTTGGATCTTGAACCGTTTGGTTCCCATTGAAGTCCATTATATGCAAAAAATCCTGGAATGTTTTCATCAAAAACCTTAATTTCTTTTCGACTGAAGATAGAAAGACATGGGATGACATGGGGGTGGGTAAATTATCAGCAAAAGTTTTTTTAAAAGTGAACTACTCCTTTAAGTTAACCTGTAGTTTTGTCAATCAACGCCACCAGTTGGTTCGGCGAGTCAGCTGTTTGTGTTTTGAGGCTAACTGTACGTTCACACCGCCGCCGCGAGAGCATCAGAATTCATTGAAAAATGAATGACTTCTGGGCACTTTGACGCTCTCGCTGATGGTGGTGGAAACGCATCTGTCGTATTTTGCTAACAACAACAAAAGTGTGTGATAGGTTGTTTTGAGGTATGTGATATCTATGGTTTTCAATGAGAACAGTAGAGCTACATTATTTATGGAGGAATTATTACTGCTCAATTATCTAAAGAAAACTGTGTCTGCTTTACACAATTTAACTACCTTCACCTTGGAGTTAATCCTAGTCCATAGTTATGCAGCTAGCTTGCTTGTAAACAGACTTGATAGCTACTAGAAAGACCTGGAACTACAGGACTCTACGTTGAAAATACCTGTTTGTTACCTGCCAGGCATCCATGGTAGTCACGTGACTGCAACATATGAATTGAGCAAAAGTGCTTCACACAGATGATATTACTAGATTCCTGCATTGTAAATAATGTAATGAATGAAACATGGACACAAACTTGTATGAAAGTTCATGTTGTGTCTAATGAGTCAAGTGAGTTTTAATCTGTCATATGTTGACCGCAGGACCTGGTCTACGTCGTGGCTTTAGGGGGGAATTACCTGCTGAATGTGGGACCCACAGCAGACGGCGTGATCGCACCTGTCTTTGAGGAGCGTCTCAGAGGAATTGGAGCCTGGCTGAAGATCAACGGTGAAGCCATCTATGCAACTAAACCTTGGAGAGTTCAGGCTGAGAATGCTACAGTTGTTACCTGGTGTGTTGATGTTTTTAAACGTCCTCTTGTCTTTCTATTCCTCAAAAACGTTCAGAAGTTCCAGCTATGAAAGCAGTGTCACCTAGAGACCTTTATCAGTAAAACAGGAAGCTTGTGAGAAAATTATAATTTAAGATTCGTTGGCCACTACATAAAATTATTGCCAATTATAAGTGCCTCACTTAATTCAATTAATATTCATGAGCCAAGCTGATAGGTTGAAGTGAAATAGTTGAAATCTAGATTGAATACAAACTGTCTTTTACCTTTTAAAAGATCATTCTTGGTCTTTTATAGCTTGGATTCCTCAACTGTAGTTTTGCTTTCTTTTCTGCCTGTTGCTGGAGTTTTGGTTTAGTTATAGTCGCAATTAATAAATAAAGCTTTCACAGCTTCAGTATAAGGTTTTAAATTTTACTTTAATTTCAGGTATACTTCAAAAAACACCAGCACTGTGTATGCGATCTTCACCTCCAATCCCATGCAAAACACCTTTCAGCTTTCTATGCCCAAAACCTCTGACAACACAGTGGTAAATATTTATGAATTTTGTTAGAATTTAGGAATATTTTAGGAAATTAGAAATTTTTTTAAGACATTCAATTATCTGTTGCAACTCTGTTCAGGTGACGTTGTTGGGGAACCCTGAGCCTTTGAAATGGGTTCCTCTGAAAACAACAGGACTGTTAATTCTCCTGCCTGATCTGCCTTTCTCACCCGCTGAAGCCTGGACATTCAAGCTGGATGGGGTGGCCTAACCTAAAGCCTTTAAAACTTTTAAAGTCGCCATGAAATTCAAATTTTACAATTTGTATTTTTTTATATGTAATATTGTAGTGCAGCTTATTATAAATGATTTATCTGTGCACTTCATTAATTAAAAAAAAAAAAAAATCATGTACCCTTATAATCTTTATCAAATACATTCTCCTTCCCTTCACCCTGAAACGACTGTTCTTCTCTTCCTGTCATGTGCTTTGCTGAGAGGGCGCGGCAAGTCCCATGCTCTAATCAATATTCAGTTTTACTTGGAAATACGTCACAACGCTGGAGAAAAGTTGTTTGTAACTCTCGGTACACGGGTACTTTAAAAACTATTTTAATGACATTTGTTTTAAGAAAGTTTTGTATAAATTAGTTTTTTATTATTTTAAAATGGACTATTTGATATGATTGCAAAATAAAAATGACCAACTGAATGATACACCAAAACCAAATTTCTGAAACTAAAATAGTTTCACTATCTATTACTTTGTAATACATAAAGACGTTACGTCAGGTTGTGCCTAATGTTCTACTGGTAACTAATTACCAGTTTAATCACTTTTTCTTTATATTATTTTTGGAATAGAAAGATTATTTTTAGGAAATTATTTAATTATTTGTTGGAATTAAAAGGTTAATTAGACAGCTGGGGAAGTTGTGTAATGTTATGTTTAGGGTTTTGTATACATTTGCAGGGGCTTATTATGAATTATGTTTGAGTAAATATTTGTATATTTTAAAGTACACTTTTTTTTTAGGGACCATGCCAATGGTCTTGTGTATTAATTTGTTTAATTAATTAACTGTTATGAGTATGTCTGAATTATGAACCTAAACCATATGCTGAGCTGAACTTTCTAGGTTGCAAAATAAAAGTTGATTACAGTTAGCCTATATTTATTCAGGCTATAGTTTAGCTCTACATTATTAGTAGACTAGCCTACAAACATTACTTTTGCTAGTTATGAAGTTGTTCAAGTCATGGTTTTGTTCATTTTGTCTTTGGAAAGGCAATTAAATATTTTGTTTTATAATATTAGAGGCAGTAAAAGTGCCATTTCCCATTTAGTAAAGGAACAGTGACAGGGTTTAGTTCAAACGGGAACCGAACCGTTAAACTTTTTGGTTCCCCTTTGTTACGAGTGGTTAGAAGGGGAGTCATGTGTTGCAGTCACATGTTTGATGAGAGTAGTATGAAGCTGCAGACTCGGAGACCTGCATTTACAGTCCCCCTGCACCCAGAGTCCCGCATTCTCAGACCCCTCGTTTTTCGAGACAGCGCCTCCTATCAAATTGTATCGGATAAACATGTGAAGAACATGTGAAGAACTTAAGCCAAAACATGAGTAGATAAATAAAATCTTCAATTTTATTTAGCGATTCGTAGTAGACTACTCGTTTGATTTATTTTGTTAATAAAACTAATTTAGCTCATCGATACAACATATGAATAGTTCATTTAATATTTGTAAAGATAGTTTGAAACAAGATTTGAGCCGTATGTTTTTTCGCCCTCTTCTCCCCGAAAATATTTAGATAGCTTATGTTTACGTTAGCCTTTAACCTTGGACTTTTTGTAGAAATGTCTTAAATGCTGCAGTTATTTTCACTGCCCATTTTGTGCCCCCATATATTTCAAACCCACAAAGTTGTCCAAAGTTCAAAAACATCTCAAGGGACACTTCAACAGAGCAGTGCAACATGGTAACTAACATTTGCAAACATTTTTTCTTTTTTTTCTTTCTTTCTTTTTGAAACATCATAAGACATGTGCTATCGAGTTGCCCCTGCCGAATCCAGCAACATATCATTTTATGATTATGCAAAGGGACTTATAAATAAGTTTTTTTTAATGCAATTGAAGACGAAAAGTAAAGTCAAAAACAGTTTTTTCTTCCTTTTTTCTTTACAGCAAGATGATGTTTAGGTGATTATTAAATAAAGTACAGAATTGTTTATTATTGGTGTTTTGTCTATTCTGATTTGTTTTGCTTCACATTCAAAATATCAAAAAACAGATATTGTAATGTTAGCATGGTAATGTTAATTAGACCATTATAGGTTTAACTGAAAGAAAAATTGGAATTTGAATAAAAAAATATAATAAAAAAACATTGTAGCAATATAATATAGCCTACTATTTTTCTGAAGATAGTTCAATCTGCTAATTGTATCCCTTCCATCAGTAACAATTTGGTTTTTTTTTGACACATGCATTAAGCAGGGAACACAAATATTTATTGGATAATTTATTTGAAGACCGTAATATTGCATCCTATTGTTTTTAATTGCATTTGGATAATGCGCTGTACTCTGTGTGCGGGTGTTATTCGATCTTTTGAACAGCATGAGGCGCTGTGTTCGAAAAACGAGGGGTCTGAGAATGCGGGACTCTCATTGGGGGACTGTAGATGCAGGCTCCGAGTCTGCAGCTTCATAATATTGTGTTTGATGTCATAATGGTTAACCAGGAAGAAAATACAAGCTTGTTATTTGAGTCTGCATTATGCTGAATCGTAAGTTAAGTCGACAGAAATCTCCAATGCGGAAATGTGAAAATACTTAGTCACAATTTGTCATAATACTGACCACAGTGCACGAGATATATACAGCTGCAGACCCGCAGCACCATCAGTTTCAGAACCCCAGTGCCAGAACCGGAAGTGAGGGAGGGGCGGAATTATTATTATTGCATTATAATTATTTTAGCAAGAATGTAAGGACAAAACGGGCCTGAGAGTGAGTTCCTCATTTGATAGGCTACATTGTAAGTTAAATTTATACATTGTAAGTTAAATTTATACGTAAGTTAAATTTATAAGATTGTTGTGATAAAACAAGCTTGGGTTAAATTGGTCATTTTGTATATATTTTTAACAAAACAATGCCGAATTTTCTCTCTTTTTTAGATTTTGACATTATTATTTTAACACGAAAAATGCATGCTGCACATGTTCTTGTGAAATAAATAAAATATGAAATAAAGTATATTTTTTTATTAAACAATCAAAATCATCTTACAAATACATATCTTCAATATAAAAACAATTTAAGATTTGTATTAAACACAATAAATAAATAGAACGTAAAATATCACAGAGGTCTAATGAGTTATCAAATTGTGCATAATTTTGAAAACCTCCAATGCTTGTCTTGTTTTATATTTCAAAGCTTTATTATTCAAAGTTAAAAACAAAACAAAAACAAAGGTCTTACCTTCCTAAATCTACACGTATGTATAAACTGCTTAGCTAAAATTATTAAACTGTTATACATTAAAATGCCCATAAGTTTCAAGTATTATTTTTTCACCGTCATGATCAGGAAGTAACTCATAATACAATGAAACGAATAACTGAAACTATATACAATGGGCTATATGCACGCATAAGTTCCGCATTTGACGTAAGGATGCTCGTCCATTTCCGGTTGTGTAGATTAAAGCGGAGGAAAACCGGAGAAAACGGGATTATGGCAGAGTCTTCAAAATTTACTGTCCTCCCGTCTTTGAAACGAAACGTACATACGTTTAGATGTAATTTTATATATAGTTATGTTTATTTAAAATAATTTTAAAAAGAAGCATAAACACAACGAGGGTTGTCTGTTTTATCTGTTTTTGTGACTAACGTTTCATTAGTATAACCATGGAGTATACAATTCAATATAAATTCTCGGTATTGCATTGGACTCTATGATCGGCGGAAGTTATCGAGCATCCCTAATGCTTCACCGGAAATAACGCCGTGCATAGAGCCCATTATATTACACAAAATCAATGTTTTAAAATGCTTATTGTACTGTAATGTAGTATCATAACATACGTAGAGAGTAGGACTAGGACGTTTCTTGTTCAATAAAAGCTGTTTCCTGCGTTATTAGGTTTCAAACCTAAGCTCCGCCCCTCACTTACGTTCCTGGCGCTGGTATTGGTTAGAACGTAACTCCGCCCCTTACTTCCGGTTCTGGCGCTGGGGTTCTGCAGTGGCGGATTTAGCAAATTGGGGGCCCAAGGCGAAGGCATGTATGCCACCTTCTACAAGCTTTGGAATTTAAAAAAGTAATTTTAAATAATACAAATTATTTGGTGGAATTGGCAGACGTTCCCTCATCATGCGCTGTGCAAACGGGTCAAAGCATTCTCTCAGGTATAAATATGCAGCATTAAAGGGTAACTAAACACCAAAACAACTTTTTTTAGTTAATGATCTGTAAAAATGGAGCCTCATAAATGCTGTTCATTGATTCGAGTACATTTTTTGACAATTGAGTATAAAGTGTTTTGATTTTCAAATATATGGTGTAAAAACGTCTGAGTGCTGCCCTCTTCAGGTTAAACGGAAAGCTCCTGCAGTAGGGGTACTTGCTGACGTAGCGAACTCTCAGACGCGACTCTGTCACACCCTTGGTGCGAGCTCACCACGCCCTTGTTAGCCCCTGGTATAAAAGCATCTGGTTCCGTCAAAACTACTGTAGCGAGTCAGGAGTTGGATTTATGAGTATTGAAAACGATCAGGATATCATATATTAGTTTAGTACAGTGATCAGGATAGTGACGGAATAGAGGTGGACATGGGCTTCTCCACACAGCTCCACACGCAGTGCCAAACACTGCTCGTCCTGCATGTACTCCTCCACCGCAGCGGCGTCTTGATGTGAGTGATCATGGATATTTTAATCACAATTTATGGTTAGGATAAAGTTAATCCTCTGGGGTCGACAAACGAGCCGGTGCATTTTGCTGGATTTTGACAGCAAAATGCGGCAGAATATCAATTTTCACATAGCGGCAGAATATCAA